GGCTCCCCTCAGCTGGTCAAAAAGGTCCTCGATGCGAGGAAGGGGATACTTGTTCTTGACTGTAAGGGCATTCAACTCCCGATAGTCAATGCACATGCGCATCGATCCGTCTTTCTTCTTCACGAATAGGACGGGCGCTCCCCATGGCGAAACACTCGGACGAATGAAACCAAGATTGAGCAACTCCTGGATCTGGGCCTTGAGCTCTTGAAGCTCCTTTGGCGCCATACGGTAAGGGGACTTAGAAACAGGGTCGGCTCCTGGTACTAGATCAATGGTAAACTCCACTTGACGGTCGGGCGGTCCTCCGGGCAACTCATCAGGAAAGACGTCGAGATACTCGCAAACAATAGAGACACTCTCCGGGGACCTCTTAGAGTCGTCCTCAGTTATCATAGAAACCAGATAGCCTTGACAGCTACCCTTAGAAAGGCTCTTCCTAGCTTGCATCGAAGAGATGACTCGAGGCACAGTCCTCGACTTCACCCCATAGAAAATAAAAGGCTGATCAGAAATGGGGAATAGAGTGACTTCACGCTCCTGGCACCGGATGTCGGCTCAATAGCGAGTGAGCCAGTCCATGCCCAAGATTACATCGAAGTCCCGCATTTCAATAACATAGCATTCGGCCTCTAAAATATGCCCACCAATACTGACTGGAAGACTGGGAATCAAAGAGTTGGAGATAATAGTCTTTCCCGAGGCTAGACTAACCTCGAGAGGATCACAGTTGCACACATTGCTAATAGAAAGTGCCTCAAGGCATCGAGACGAGATAAAGGAATGAGTAGCCCCAGTGTCACATAATGCAAAGATAGGCACATCGAATAAGGAAATCATGCCGGACATAGTACCTGCATTGTTGGCTGCCTCGTCATGAGCAATGGTATAGACTCGAGCCTGGCCTCCTGCACGCTGCTGGTGTGGGGGTGGGGGCTGTCTGGGCTGCTGCTGTGGGTAAGGTGGAGGAGGAAGCTGCTGCTGCTGCTGGGCCTGCTGTCTCGGGGGTTCGGGGCAAGCACTGAAGAAGTGATCGGGCTTCATGCAGTTGAAGCAAACTCGCTGAGTGAAACGGCATTCTCCCGGATGATATTGACCACACTTAGGGCACTTCGGATTCTGATCATAAGATGCAGGGCGCCCGCCACGACGGTCATTCCCGCCACGCTTTCCCTTCCGGTTATCACGGCGGGAATCAAACTTTCTCTTACCCGAACTAGAGCCGGGCGGTGCAGAAGCAATGGGCTGGACTAGCTGAGCAGAAGGGACAGAAGTATCGAGAGTTTGATAACTCTCCAGCTGGGTGGCTCGGATAACAGTCTCATCAAAGGAAAGATTTCCCTGGCTAGCAACATGCATACGAAGAGTTTGACTCAGCCCATCTCGGAACTTGTGAGCCTTCTTCAGGTCAGTGTCCACCATATGTGGAGCAAAGGCGCTCATGCGGGTGAACTCCCGCTCGTACTCCTCAACGGTACCAGTCCCCTGGGTAAGATCCCAGAAAGCGCGCTCCATCCTCATGCGATAACCCTGAGGATAATACTTCTCCATGATCACCTCCTTCATGCGATCCCAAGTCAAGACATTAAACTCCGCCTGCCTCAACCTCCAATAGCCGGACCACCACAAGGCGGCACTTCCCTTAAGCATATAGCGGCCACAAATAACCTTCTGCTCGTCAGAGCACTGTAGGAGGTCAAAGTTCTGCTCTAACTGACAGATCCACTCCGCCACAGCCTCGGGCCCTTCAGTCCCATGAAATTCTGGCGGAGTTAGACTCCGGAATTGGAGCACGATTTTGAGATGAGCCCCTGCTGGATTGGGAGCCTGCTGGTGAGAGGGAGATGGGGATGGAGACGGAGGTGGAGATGGAGTAGGCTGACGGTTGCGAGGATTACGACGAGCCATAATTCTACATTGAAAATGGGTCGTACAGTTAGCACAATAATAAAAGAAGTCTAGAGTTCAACACTAGAGTTCTCATTTAAAGGTGGATTAGTCCTAACCCCGATTTTATTCCAATAATCAATAATCAAACAATATGCAATTATCTCATAGTCATTCAGGTACACATACCTGAGCTGGCGCGGCACGACGAGAGCGAGTGGTCATAACTTAAGGTCAATTCACATAATCAAATAATTCACATTAACCAGTCTACAGAAAAGCAGACTGGCTCTGATACCAAACTGTAACGCCCCACTTTTATTTGCAAAAATTCAGGATAAATTTTTCAAATTTAATTCTAAACAATATCAATATTTGAGGCGCCACTCATTTTCAAACATTTATCAATACTAAACACATCCTCAATACTCAACAATATTCAATACTCATAATCCATATAAGAACCTCAATAATTAATCATGATCCAATAATAATAATCCAAGGGAAATAACCCATATCAATAATCAATAATTCAGTACTAACGAAAAGCAATAATCAATAACAACACAATAATATCCAAGTTCAGTTCTAAGCGGAAACATTTATTCAAATTAAAGACCACCACTCGCATCTCTTCTGCCGTGTCGCGTAAACTAACCTGCATCCATGGAGAGCAGGTGGGGATGAGCACAATAGGAAAGTCGAGGTGCTCACCGCTATGCAATAATTAATATCAATAACTATAAAACAATTTAAGTATGGTCGCAGCATGTATACGAATCAATTATCGTCCCATCTCCTATCAATAATCAATAATGGTCTCATGTGCACACCTATAACAATAGACTACTGCCGAGCTATATACCGAACGCCTTCCTTGAAGGCCTTACAACGAGTGCCCGACCAGCAGGAGCAATAATCCACCCCGAATGCCAAAACTCACGCCTTGGCCTTACATACGAGGATCACCAGCCAAGGCTCACGCCCTGACTGCCAACAATAATAAAGGAGACTACCCAAAGGTACGTTCTATAGCTACGGGGATAACCGTTCGACGGCCAATATAGCTCACGTCGAAGGCTACATGGTTCACATGCATACTTTGATCATACAACAACAAGAACAATTAATTAAAGCATAGTGAATTTTACAATTACAACCCACCTGGTATCGGTTGATAAAGCAATTAGTCAGAAGGTCGTAGGTGGTCAAGACACTGCTCTTCAGACACCTACATAAGTCAAGACAGTCCCATAAGCAACTATCTCGACTCTTGCACAGATAACGAGAATTATGCTTAGTCGAATAACATCGACTAAGGAACTCGTGGAAGTTGTGGAGTTGGAATATTAGGACGACTCCTAGACTCGACCAATTAATTACCAAATCAATTAATAGATCACATAAAAGCAGGCAATAAATGTTCGACACAAAACGGGTCAAAACGGTTAATAAAAGCTAGTTCGAATTTTATAAGAATAGGGCTAAGGGGGGTTGGACTTGGTTATTTAAATTCAAATTTTTACAGAGTGTTAAGGGCTGAAAAATACATATTTTCTTTTTTTTTTTTCCGAAACGACAGAGGTTGTATTACTAAAACTCAAAGAGAATAAGAATACAGAGTACAAACCAACAAACCAACAACCGAAAATGAAAACTGAGAGGCACATACAGGATGGCCTAGAACCTCAACCAAGGAGATAAAATCAAAGAAACTAAAAGGAAACTAATTACCCGCCACTGCCACAAAGCCTAGCAAGATAATTAGTCTCCAAATCCAACAAAAACCAAGACAAGACAAAACAAACACCCAAACAAAATCCAAAGCAAAAGAACCTATCTAAAGATGACCACCAGGTTCAGTGAATTCCAACCAGTCAGCTTGGGCTGCCAGAACCACTCTGTGTGGTGGCATAAGAGATTTTTGGAACACCCAAAGATTTCTTGACTTCCAGAGCCACCAAAGCAAGTATGTGGAGAGTTGGATCCGTGCTTCAGCAACATCTGAGGAGCCAAGAGAGCAGATTTGTTGCCACCATCCTTTGAAAGAATCAGTATTGCAAGTCTGAGGGTCCCATTGAACTGGAGAAAGCTCCCATAACCTGATAGATCTGGGACAGGAAAAGAACAGATGTTCTAGAGTCTCAGGAGCTGCTCCACAAATAGAACAGGTAGTATCAATGTCAATGCCCCTTTTAATGAGCTGAGTGGCTACAGGTAATGTGCCAGAGATGCATTTCCACAAGAAGTGTTTGATTTTGTTCTGAATTTTGAGTTTCCAGCTTCTGAAAATTATAGCTTGCTTCTGAGGTGAGGAAGTGCTGCATTCAGGGATATCCAGCATAGAAAGTTTATTAGCAGCTAAGTGAGCATAAGTAGAAGCAACAGAAAACACTCCTTTCTGATACAGACCCCACAAAAATCTGTCTTCTTTGTCTGGTTTAAGAGTCTTGATACTAAGGATGGCAGCACTATCATGATCAGAGAAAACTTGCTTAATAAGCCAAGAATTCCACTCCTTCCCATTATCTAACATAAGATCCTTCACCCAGATTAAATGATCCCTAGCCAGCTCCATCAGATTAGGCATAGGTTTAGTAAGTGAGGGAATCCAATTAAAATCAGCAATTCTAGTAGCGGCTCCATTCCTTATTTCAATTTTAAGCCATTTTGAGAACAAAGGCATCATATCCATCCAAGAGTTCCATAACCAGGACCCATTAGAACATTTAACAGCATGAGCAATGGAGTGATTAAGAAAGTACCTATCTTTAAGAACTTTACTTACCAGAAGTTGAGGGTTGGTAGCTATCCTCCACAATTGCTTACAAATGAGGGCCTGGTTAAAAAGTTTGAAGTCTAGAAACCCCAGTCCACCTTTCATTTTTGGAAGAGCAAGGAGAGTCCATTGTTTCCAGTGAATGCCAGAATGTTCATGGTTTCCTGATCTCCACCAAAACTCAGCACACAGTTTGGATAATTCAGAGCAAAGAGAGATGGGAATTTTGAAGCAAGACATAGAGAAAATGGGGAGGGCCTGAATCACTGCTTTGAGAAGAACCTCCTTTCCAGCAGGGCTTAGGAGGTTAGACTTCCAGCTGTTCAGTTTTGACTTGACAGAAGTGAGGATGTAATCAAATACCTCCTTTTTTGACTTCCCAATTCCAAGGGGAAGTCCCAAATATCTGGTAGATTTGTGGGAAGTAATCCCATTGAGAGTTTGACAGATAGAATGCTGGAGCTGCAAAGGTGTATTCTTGCTAAAAAAAGGCTGCAGATTTCTGTAAGTTGACTTGTTGGCCTGAAAATAATCTGTATTGCTCCAACAAATTCAGAAGAAAGGAAGCTTGATCCACCCCAGCCTTGCAAAAAAATAAGGAGTCGTCTGCAAATAGCAAATGTGACAGAACAGGGCCATTCTTGGATAATTTAAGCCCTTGCAAATGTCCTTTATTGCATGCATCAGAGATTAAAGCAGATAAGAGTTCAACCACAATAATGAAAAGGTAGGGGGATAAAGGATCCCCCTGCCTAATTCCCCTTGAAGGAGTAACATACCCACTGACCACTCCATTAACTTTGAAAGAAAAGGTAGCAGAGGAGATACACACCATAATAAGCTTGACAAAATCCTGGTGAAATCCCATTTGCAGCATGATTTTTTTAAGACAAATCCACTCAACTCTATCAAATGCCTTAACTAGGTCAAGTTTGAGTGCCATAAAGTAATTTTTACCAGAGGAGTGCCTGTTTAAGTGATGGAATGCCTCTTGTGCAATTATAACATTGTCTAAAAGTTGTCTCCCCTGAATGAATGCTGATTGGTGTTCACTGATGCACTGAGTTAAGCATAGCTTCAGTCTTTGTGCAAGAATTTTAGATAGAACTTTGTAAACCACACTACATAAGCTAATAGGCCTAAACTGAGATAGAGTTTCTGGGTTGTGACACTTAGGAATAATAGATAGAATGGTGTGATTCCAGTAGGAAATCATCATACCAGATTGAAAGAAACTAAGAATAGCTGCCACAAGATCATCCTTGATTATAGTCCAAAAGTGCTGATAGAAGAGAGCACTCATACCTTCTTCCCCAGGAGCTTTTTCAAGATGCAAGCTGAATAGGGAGCTTTTGATTTCTTCCTCATCCACTGGCTTAAGGAGAACATCATTTAGCTCAGATGTGATTGTGGTAGGAATGAGAGGGAGCAGAGCATCCCCACCCCAGCTCCCTTCAGAAGAGAAAAGGTTTTTGTAGAATTCAGCTATGTGAGATGCAATATCTTCCTGATTTGTGACTGCTTGGCCTCTGGATGTAAGAAGTCTAGTGATAGCATTGAATCTCCTTCTTTGCAAAGTGAGGGTGTGGAAAAACCTGGTGTTGGAGTCACCTTCCCTCAACCATTTCAGCCTTGCCTTTTGTTGCCAGAACATTTCTTCCTGCCTGTGAGCTTTCTCTAGGTCTCTTCTTGTGTTTTCCCAGCTTTCCCATTGGCTACCTGATTTGTCTTGGTTTAGCATTTGCAGCTTGTTGGTTAACTGGGATATGAGAGCTTGGTTCTGAGTCTGGAATTTGGAGCTCCAGATGAGAAGTGCTGTTCTGACATGTTTGATCTTCTCTTTGAGTTGATAAAAGGGAGTTCCAGATACTTTTGTCTTCCAAGCATGTTGAACAGTTTCCTCAAAGCCTTCCTTGCCTATCCACCTTTTATCAAAGTGGAATCTTGATTTTTTTCCTTTCCCTTGGTAAGCCAAAATCAAAGAGCAGAGGGGTGTGGTCTGAGGCACTTCTAACAAGATTAGAGATGGAGGCATTGGGAAAGATTTGAAACCAGTCAGGGGAGACAAAAGCTCTATCCAGGTACTCTTCCACAATATCTTGATCAGCTCTGTTGTTGCACCAAGTGTATGGGTACCCCACCAACTGGATTTCCTCCATCTCCATATCATTAATGAAATCATTGAAGGGTAGGCAGCTGAGAGGGCTTCTTGTAATTCCACCTGATTTTTCAGAATTTTCTCTTATGTCGTTCCAGTCCCCAATGGCAAACCATAGATTTCCCCAAGATGGTTTATCTTCAATAAATTCCTGCCACTGGTCATATCTTATAGATTTGCAAGCATTGAAATACACAAAAATCCCCCATTGAGGATCCTGGGAGTTAAGTTGAAATTGAACAACAATGTAAAAGATTACAGATACAATTCATAATCTGAACCTTAGGATCCCAACACAAAAGCAGACCTCCACTAAGGCCTAGGGATCAACCACAGACATCCTATCAGAAAAACCCAACTTCCTACCTACAGACTTAACAAAAGCACATTGTTTTTTGGTTTCTGAAAGAAAAAGAAAAAGGGGATGGTGAGCTCTTAATAGCTCTCGGATTTGGGAAATTGTAGAGGGCCCACCCAGCCCTCTACAATTCCACACCACAGCTAACATTGGTCACTAGGGTGCCACTCAAGGCTGGCAACCCCCACCTCTTCAGAAATAGTTTTGAGTTTTTTAGAAGAACCTTTATTGTTGACATCAGCCTCTTCTGCTTGTTCAATTGGTTCTTGTCTCTGCCTGGTCCTTTTGCCTTTTATCAACTGGTTGATGATCTGTGAAGGTTCAGAGGCTCTTTGCAGCCTACCCATATTGCTGCCAGTTCAATTCCAGGTTTTAAGGACTGGGGATGATGGAGTTGGGACCTCCAGAGAAGGCAGCAACATTTGAGAATTAGAAGTTTGTTCCTTCTCAATTTCCATTATAGATGACTCCACCATTTGTAGTGGAGAGTCTTCATTATTCCCGGAATATGATGTTTGATGATTGGCTGAGAATTGAGAAGTGGTGCCCTTGGATTTAGCAGGTGAGAAAGTTCCTTCCTGGCTGGGTATTAACTGGTTGCTCAAACTCCTTTGATTAGAAGGTGTTGTATGGGGATGAACTTGATCAAACTCTGTTGGAGGTGGAGATTCTGGCGGTGGTGAAGTTCTTGAGCCAGAAAGACTGACTGGGCCCCATTTGTAACCTTCAGCTGCTTTCATCCAATCCTCATATTGGCCCTCTTTGAGGACTTTGTTTTTGACATCTTCCATCTTTTTCTTGCAGCCTCTATCCAAGTGCCCAATCATCCCACAATAATGGCACAGGTTCATAAGCTTCTCATACTTGAAACTTACAGTGACTATTTGCTCTCCCAGCCTGACTTTTGCTATTCTCGGCAGTGGCTCATCTACATCCAACGTGACCAGAAGCCTCAGAATCTTGCCTCCATGGTTGCCTGTCGTAGCTATGACTACATTTTTGAGCTCTTTAAATGCCTGCCCTATCTTTAATCCAACTTTTGTACTCAGCCAGTTTAGTGGAATGTCATGGACTTGAACCCACAGGTCAAGTTCCTTGAAGCTGGGATGATTGCTGCTAATATTTGTTGTCCATTCTTTGAGAATTATGTATTGATTCTCAAAGCTCCAGTTTGTGCCATAAGATACCTTTTTCATGTCCTCCCTACTCTGAAATATGAACTGAAAGTAGTTGGGACACAATTCCTTAACCTCCATAGGCTGATTAAGCTTCCATATCTGAGACATAGTTCTTTTGACCCCTATCCAGCTCGCCGGCCTATCTCTAATGACCTTGCCAAAAAGACTCCTCTGGCACTCGTCATCACTTAGTTTGATATCGTCTTGGGCAATGTCGTAGACAATGCCTTCGCTTTCAGATAGAGAGAAGATCTTGAGCCGATCGGAGAGTTCATCATCGCACGCTGAGGATTGGGTTCGGTCCATGAGAATCAAAACCAGAGAAACCCTAGATCGATTGACAAAGGGAAACGGGAAAAAAAAAGGTCGAAAGGGGAGGGGATAAAACGAGAAACCACAACGGATGAAAAGGGAATGAAGGAGGGTGAAGAAGTTGGGTAATGAACGGAGAAAATGATCGGAAAATCGAAGCTCTCAGAGAGAGAATCGGGGCTCTCAGAGAGAGATATTTTCACCAAAGGAAAACCATTTAACATGCTCCTAACTATTTTAAATAATTTACTCAAAATCTGACCAGAAATCAAATTAAATCATTTAAAATAGCTACTGCTCGATTTTAAATTTCAAATTTTTACAGCAGCAAGATAATCTGTAGGAAAACAACATATTAAAAAATTAGCAAAATCGGACAGAAACTAGATTTTTATATGAATTTATTACGAAACAGCCCAGAATTAGTTTTCAAGTTTTGACAAGGCTACAGGCCATATAAAATTCTCAAATTTTAACCACAAGTACTACAATTGCAACATTACAACAGATCCAAAAATCAGAATTTTTGGATAAACACACGATATATAGTGATTTTAACAAAAACCGGCTGCAACACGTTTTTCAAAAATTCATAACTAATTCAATACACATCGAAACGACGCGAGGCCAAAGGCGTTGCGTCAAGGACAATCTTAAGTCCAATAATCCACAGCACTTCCACATAACATATTACTCGAAACTTAGTTCGATAATTTTTTTTCAAAGTGACGGCAATCACTTTGATACCCAATATTAACAATATATCCTAATTACACACGAAAGCATTCCGAACGCACGTAATTAATTTGAATATCATATGATCAGAAACGTAACACACATACGAGTACTACCACATAAACACGAACTAGATAATTAAGTCGAGGGGTTAACTCGGGTACCGTTCTCGGGACGGGGCTACGAAGAACGAACAACGGAATAACAAACGAACTCGACGTCTCAACGTGTCTCGCCGGGACAAGAGGGCAGCGACCGAAGGGCTCGACGGAAGGCTGCTGGTCGCCGGAGTGGGTCGACGGGATGTACGGCGGCGCACGGTTGCTGCATTTTGGAAAAAATGCGGGTGAAGGTGGCGACAATGGCGGCTCGGCGTCCGGAACTCGTCGGCTTCGTTTAACGCTCCGACGGAACCCGACGGAACTCGACGATCACGATAGGCTCTTCGACAGAACTCGACGGGTCCTGAAAGCCGAAGTTGAACGTTGACGGAGGAGGTTGCCTGTGGAGCTTCGCGAGTAGAGATGGCAGCCAAGCGATGGTCGCTGCGATGTCGCGGTTAACGCGCAGCAGAGAGAAAGTCGATGGAGACCTGTAGTGGTGCTCGACGAACAGCAGGGCGTGATGGCGGTGGTTCGCGGAGGAGCACGGCGACGATGATGGCTGACAGAGGTGGTGATGGTCTGCTGCAAGTATGAACGATGATGGCGATGGGAGTTCGATGATGGTGATAAGCCGCGGGACAGTGACGATGGTTGATGATAGGATGATGATCGATGATAGAAGATGGTTGATGATGGTGGCGAGAGAGAGAGCAGAGATTGAGGGTGTGGCTGCGAAATTGCTGAAGGTGCGTATTATATATACATATATACATATATATACCTTAGATAATTAGGTTTTATTTTCTTGTTTTGTAAGAAAATTCCACACGCACACACACGCACGTGAGGGAGGAAAACCGGACCGGGTCAAAAATTCGGTTCATCGGGTCGAAAGCTCGGTTCTAACGCGGCTTCAAGAAATTGGATCGATTTCTCGGGCTCGGTTAAAATCGCACGATTAATAAATTAAAATAAAACCGGACCAAAATATATATATATATATATATATATATATATATAACACATAATTTATTTAATTATAATATAACAATTAGACAATTAATATTAGAAATAGTAATATTACTAATAACAACAAATAATAGCAATTTGGCATTTAATAATAATAATAATAATAATAATAAATAAGGAAATTAATAATAACAATAATCAATATTTATTCCCAATTAATCCACGATAAAACGGGGTATTACATCCGGCTTGCTCGGCAACCATCACAACTGATTTCTGAGTGAACAAGGCCTCAGCCGACTGGAGTTCTGACAATAGTTCTGGAAGAGCCATATGCATCTTGTGCATGTTATAGTTCAACCGGAACTGATCAAAACTCTTCGGCAGAGATTGGAGCATGATATCGACCTGGGTTTCCCCGTCAATAAAACCTCCAAGAACCTCTAGCTCATTCAGCTGCACCATGACCTTGAGAGCATGCTCCCTTACTGGTGTACCCTCTGCCATGCGCGTTTTCATCAGAGCACTTAAAGCCTCTTGTCTTGCAGCCCTCGACTGATGCCCAAACAGTTCCTTGAGGTTCAGAAGCATATCTGCAGCAGTGGCCATTGACTGATGCTGATGTTGAAGGACATTTGACATAGAAGCCAGAATGTAACACTTCGCCATCTCATCAGCCTTCTTCCACCGAGCATACTCCTGTTTCTCCTCATCTGGGGCATTATCAGCCGGCACATCAGGACAAGCCTCAGTTAGCACATACTTATAGCTTTCAGCAGTCAGCACTATGTCTAAGTTCCTTTTCCAATCAATGTAATTAGGACCGGTGAGTTGATTTTCTTTTAGGATAACAAACAACGGATTGAACGACATGATGAATAAACCTAAGAATTACGAAATTATTTTACTGATTAAACATTTTGAATTTAACTGTTAATATTGACATCCTCAAAACAATACTAACTTAAATTCACTGACATCCTTAAACCTTGAGAATTTAGTATGATGCTCGGGCAACTCTACTAATTCTTCGTTTCTTTAAAGAAGGGTTTTTACAGAACCCATTAATTTCCATTAGTCAAAACCAATTTCATGACGAATGAAATTAATAATCGTTCACTGTTTGGCCATGCAATAAAAAT